TGGCCAGTGAGAGGCTAAACATACAAATGGACAATAGCCAGATCATATGGAGTCTTGCTTTGTCACCTAGGCTGGAGTGCAGTGGCATGATCTCAGCTCACCGCAACCTCTGCCTCCTGAGTTCAAGCAATTCTCCTGCCTCAGCCTCCCAAGTAACTGGGATTACAGGTACCCACCACCACGCCCAGCTAATTTTTTGTAGTTTTAGTAGAGATGGGGTTTCACCATGTTGACCAGGCTGATCTCGAACTCCTGACCCCAAGTGATCTGCCCACCTCAGCTTCCCAAAGCATTGGGATTACAGGCATGAGCCACTGTGGCCAGCCCATATAGTAAAATAGAATTCTGACCCACAATCTGTAGCAATCAATCTAGGAACTCTGTAGCAATCAGCCCCAAATTGCCAGGTCTTAATCAGGAACAGCCAGCTACCCTAATTTTTGTCCTTACTTCCAACTTTGGACCAACCGGAGAAGCCAGATATGGCCCCTCACCAATCATATGGGATGCACACTACTAGTAAGCTTCTCCAGCTGGGAGTACCTGAACAACCCTTCCCCCAACCTCCTTCCTTTTTCTACTGTAAAGCTTTTCCACCCTGGCCTATTTTTGAGTCTGCCAAATGGAAGTGATGATAACTGACTCCTTTGCCACACTAAGCCCTGAATGAATAGCCTTTGCTTATTCCAGCCTGGGTGGTATTCATTTATTTGCATACCAGATTCCAAATACAAGCCACTGTCCCTACCCACAAGGAGCTTTTAGTTTAGTAAACACTCACATTCCAATATGGTGTAAGTGTATAACCAAGGTATGGACAGGTGGATAGCTCTGACGAACTTCCTAGGAGGAGGGAGCTATCCCAGATTTGCTTTGAAGTATGAATATTGCTCACTAAGTAGCCCACCGTGGGAGAAGAGAGGCACACTTCTCCAATCTTCTTCCTCACCACTCTGCTTTCAGAAACTAACCTCTCCCACTTATGGCCCAAGTTTCATTTTTTACCTTCTCTACCCATTAACCATCTCATTTATTTTTGTTTTTCAATTTCCCCCTCTCTACTAAATAATAGCCCTCAGTCTAAAATATGTTTGAGCCTGTTTTGCATTCCCTAAAAATCTTAGACTGATTTGACCAGCCCAACTGAATGCTACCTTCGTTTTCCTTCTAGCTTCTTTAAAGAGTATCTACTCCAAGGCAAGGTGCAGTGATTCGTACCCGTAATCCCAGCACTTTAGGAGGCTGAGGCAGGCAGATCACTTGAGGTCAGGAGTTGGAGACCAGCCTGACCAACCTGGCGAAACCCATCTCTACTAAAAATACAAAAATTAGCTGTGTGTCGTGGTGTGTACCTGTAATCCCAGCTACTCAGGAGGCTGAAGCAGGAGGATCCCTTGAATCCAGGAGGCAGAAGTTGCAGAGAGCGAGATCACACCACTGTACTCCATCCAGCCTGGGCAACAGAGCGAGACTGTTTCAAAAAAAAAAAGAGTATCTACTCCATAACCAAGGTCTCTACCCTCACTCTAAAGCCCCCACATCTAGCTGTCACCCTCTCTTCTCTGCTAACTCTGGGTCTCCATTGACCAGAGCCATCCAATTCAAAGCCTTTCACTCCATCTCCACCCCTCCGCTTCCCCTCCCCTGGTTTCCTTTACTAAACAAGCCCAGTCTTTCTCCGTACTGTAAACTGGCTACTGCTTCTTTCTTCTTGACTTGCATCTACCAACTGAACTCCAAGAATCCACTCCAAGAATCCGTACTTCATCCTCTCAATCTTGTCAACCTCAAGGTTTCATGCAACCATCAAGTCTGCATGGCTTGCATACACCTATCCCCCACAGTCCTAGCTGTCTGCTGATTTCATCTCTCTAAATCCATAACAGCACCTCAAATTCAGGATGTCCAAAATAACTAATCATCTTTCTTTCCCGATCTTTCTCCTCCCATAAAAACATATACCTAGTCGCCCAGTCACCAAGTCTTCGTGTCATCTTTCCCCTTCTGTTCCCTTGCACCTTCACATCTGTTATTAAATCCTTCCTTCTTGTCCATTTCTTTCTTTTTTTTTTTTAAAGACAGAATCTTGCTCTGTCTCCCAAGTTGGAGCACAGTGGCACAATCTCAGCTCACTGAAACCTCAGCCTCCCCAGCTCAAGCGATTCTCCTGCCTCAGCCTCCCAAGTAGCTGGGATTACAGGCACCTACCACTGTGCCCAGCGAATTTTTGTATATTTTAGTAGAGACAGCGTTTAACATGTTAGCCAGGCTGGTCTCGAAGTCCTGACCTCAGGTGATCCACCTGCCTCAGCCTCCCAAAGTTCTGGGATTACAGGCTTGAGCCACCACACCTGGCCCTGGTCCATTTCTTATTGTCTACATTCAGTCCTCTTCTGCTGTCATTACTGTGGGCCCAGTCCTCAGAACTTCCCGGCCAGCTACTACAACACCTTCCTCAACGTGCTTGGCCAAGCCTCCAGTCTTTCCCTACATTGTCCACTGTCAGGAAACCTGCCCTGCATAAAACCAGGTTCTCCAAGTTTGAAAATGAAGGAAGAGTGTCTACGTAAAGAGAGGAGGCTCAACCAGGAAGCCTTGACTTCTGTTTCCCCAAATTCACCCTAAAACCTTTAGTTTCAGATGACCTTAGGTAGCTACTAGCTGCATTCAGTTATCCTGGCCTAGCAATTCAAGGGGACCATAATGGACAGTTTCCTACCTTAGAGAGATCACATGAAGATCCTGAAATAGATGCCAAACATCTACAAGTCCTATGCACACTGTCCTGGGACATGGAAGCAAGGAAGAAATCTAACCAGAGCACCTAATATATCTAATATATATATATATATATGTATATATATATTTTTAAGATGGAGTCTCACTGTCGCCCAGGCTGGAGTGCAGTGTGCGATCTCAGTTCATACAACCTCCACCTTCCAGGTTCAAGCAATTCTCCTGCCTCAGCCTCCTGAGTAGCTGAGACTACAGGAGTGTGCCACCACGCCCGGCTAATTTTTTGTATTTTTAGTAGACACAGGGTTTCACTGTGTTACCCAGGATACTCTCGATCTCCTGACCTCGTTATCTGCCTGCCTCGGCCTCCCAAAGTACTAGGATTGCAGGCCTGAACCACTGCGCAGGGCACCTAATATTACAAAAATGGCCACTCCAGAAGATCGAGCTATCAAAATATCCACCAGGCAAAGAGAGTCCCAAGGCAAAGAGAATGGGGGTGGGGATGGCAGGGAGGAATCTCAACCACAAGTCCCCCTGTATCTCATCACATAGACATTTCCTTCCATTTCCATATGATGATCAGTGTTTGGTTTTAGTGAGGAAGATGGGGGATCCTTAGACCCTCTCCCCCCATCTCAAGTTTATTTGTACAAATAGCAAAGGAGGACACCAGCCCTATGAAGATAGCAGCCCAAGGGACAATCCTTCTGTCCTCACATTGGCAGACAGAGATCTCTACTCTAAAGGCTTTGCAGGGGCCTGGGCACCTTTGGGAGCCTGAGCTGGAACTGAAGCTGGAGCTGCAGCCTGGGCCTTGGCTTGTCCTTGGCCTTGGCCTTTGGCTGCCACAGCCTGACACCCTTCGGAATCTTGGGCTTAACCTCCTTGGGCTTTATAAGGGCAAGGCCTCGGCAGGTGCACTCACGGCCTTGCCTTTGGTCCCCTCCATCTTCTTTAGGCCCTTCTTGTGCTTCTTGGCAAAGTGCATGTTTGTATATTTGTGATTGGCATTTCTTGATGCCATTTCTGTGCCATTTTAGGGACTGGTTGTGTATGGTGTGGTTCTTGGATTTGGCCATCTGCACCGTAACCCGCGGCTCCCTAAGCACCCGGAACCGGCTGGACCCACTTTTCATGTCACACTCCCTGAAACAGCTTCCAGTGGCTTCCAGCCACAGCTAAGTCCAAAGGCCTAGGACTGCCAATCAAAGCACTCTGCCCTCTGCCTTCCGTACCTCCACGTGCTTCCTTCCCTTCTACCCCCGTCTGAATTCTGAAGAAATTCATTCAGTCGACACATTTGTGGAGAGGCGGCAGTACCTTCTGCTATGAGCTGGGATGTCTTTTCCACATTTTCCCATATCCAAATATGACTAATCCTCGACGGCCCAGCTCAGGGGTCACCACTAGATTTCTCAAGCTAGAAGGAATCTTTCCCAGCCCTCACCACCTAGGTCTTCTCAGAGCACTCATGCCATTCTGCCTTGTATTACAGTTATTTGGATGAATATCACCTCCCCTGCGCGTCTGAATCCTCTGTGTAATTCCTACTCCGCTCAATATTGCACTTTGCAGAGGAGCAAAGACAACTCCCTCGATCGCCTGGAAATGGAACACCTGCTGGTCTGAATCCTCCAGACAATTAGCCCCAAGAAGGCCCGCACTGCCCGCCCTCATCCGCACAGGGAAGCTGCTGGAGGTCCATCTGGTGAATGAATGAGTGAATGAATGGCTTCATTCCTATACTCTTCCTTACACTTCTTTCTCACCGTGTTGAGCATCCGGCAGTTCATGAACATGATCAAATTAAAAGTGGAAATAAAATTGCTTCTGGTCAAAAATGTGTCATGCAAAAGCCAGCGCAGAGCCGGAAGCGGGATAGCGCCGCGGAACGCCCTGGCCCTCCCCGCCCTGCCCCGGGCGCCGCCCTGCTCAGGTCCGCGTTCGCGCCCAGCCCCCACCCCGCCTCCTGGGCAGCGGTGGTCCCTGGGGGCCCGGCCAGGCCGTCTCAAAACCTGCGTCCCACGGCGATGCGGGGTCAGGTGTGGTCAGGAAAGCCCAGCGGGGAGCCTCCCCACCTCCCGCTTCTCTGAGCTCCTCCTTCCCGATCTCCAATAACCGGCGCGGGCCCCTCTTGCGCCCCACGCCTTGGCATCGCGGGACTCCGACCCAGGGGCTGGGAAGCGTCCGTGCGCCTAGAGTCCTCGAGGCCCAGCCAGGGGCCCCGCCGGCCGCCAGTGCCCGTCCCAGCCCGCACTCACCATCGGCGCCCGTCTCTCCAGCGGCGCCGCGGGCCAGGCGGAGCAGCAGCAGCAGCGGTAGCAAGCGGCTAGTCGGGCCCGCGCCCCGGGCCCCCCGGCCCATGCCACTGCCAGTCTCTCCCGGCGCGCCCGCGGCTCCTCCCGCGGCCCTCGGGGCGCAGAGATAAGGCCGTGGGCATCGCGGGGAGGGCACCAGCCGGCGGCTTCCGGCCCCGCGATGGGGAGCGGGGGACGTCCCGGGGTCCCCGATTCCTCCCGGCCGGGCCTGGGCGCGGGACGCTCCCGTTCCGCTTCTGTCCCTGGCTCGGCACCGTCACCCCTTCCCGCACCTGCTGCGTGCCAGGCCCTGTCGCCGCTCACTTTGGCAAAGGGGGACAGACACTCATCGGGTAATGACACAGCTGGACGCAGAGCTCCGGAGGGTGCTGGGGAGGAAATGTCGCCGGGGATCCAAGCCCCTCGGGGACTCAGGGAGGCACCCCCGGGGAGAGGGATGAGGGGGTCAAGGGGCAAAAATCTTCGAGGACGTAAAAGGGAGCTGGACGAGGTGACCACAGCGTAAGGCTCAGGTAAAAGGTCGGAAGCCGCAGGCCCAAACCACCCAGGGGCGACAGACATGACCAGGTGACACCTGGTCACCTTGTGTGACAGTAGAACTGTGATGGAGGAAGGGGCTGGCATCAGTCCCCGCTGCTCCGAAGACATCCAGCATGGGACGCGCTGAGGCCAGCCCCTCCCTCCATCACAGCCGTACCCCTTCCCCAAGGAGGGAGTAAACCCAGACCCAAGGATGAGAAGGCCGTTGGGGAGGAATCCCAGAGGGAGTTCGTTGTAGAAATGAGGAAGGGAATCTCCTTAGGGTGGTAGCAGAGGATTGGAGAGAGGCGTTAAGCTGCAGAGGGAAGTTAGCCCTTTTAACCCAAGTGAAGGAGGTCGCTGGGAAGCTGTCACAGTTTTAAGCAGGGAATGACTTCATCACTGACACATCTCTGCGTCTGTTCTGTGGGACGAGGGTTGGGGTTGGGATTGGGATGTGTAAGGCAGAGAGCCCGCCGGAGTTGCTGCAGGAATCAGGCAATAGAATATATGTCCTGGAGGTCAAGGATGAAACCCGTCTCTACTAAAAAAAAAAAAAAAAAAAAAAATTGGATAGGCGTTGTGGTGGGCACCAGTAGTCCCAGCTAATTGGGAGGCTGAAGCAGGAAAATCACTTGAATCCAGGAGATGGAGGGTGAAGTGTGCCAAGCTTACGCCACTGCATTCCAGGCTGGGCAACAGAGTAAGACTCTCTTTATATATACATAAAGACGTGTCCTGCAGCTGGGCATTGACAAATGAGTGTGAAGAGGGATGTGTGTAGGAGTGGAATCCACTGGATTTTTACGACTAGTGGGGGAGAAGGAAAGAAATAAGATCCAGTTTGAAGGCTCTGAGCTTGTGATGTCTGTGGGAGAGCATCTGAGAGCAGGCACCCCACTACTTCACCACATATCCTCACTTGCTTATTCTCTGCCATGAGCCTGCCCTAAATCTAACCACTTTCAAACACACCCATATAAGGGCTAAAGTTGTGCAGTCTTAAAAAGTAGTTAAAAATCAACTTTAAGCTGGGTGAGGTGTGGCATGCCTGTAGTCCCAGCTGCTAGAGAGGCTGAAGGGCAGGAGAATTGCTTGAATTCAGGGTCCACCTGGGCAATACAGTGAGACCCCCTCTCTTTAAGAAAAACAAAACAAAACAAACAAACAAACAAAAAACACCTCATCTTCCTAGACTCTTTTTTCCTCTTGGGGAAACAGGGTCTAGTTCTGTTGCCCAGGCTGGAGTGCACAGCTCACTGCAGCCTCACCCTCCTGGACTCAGGCAGTCTTCCCACCTCGACCTCCCCAGTAGCTGGGACTACAGCGGCGCAGCATCACACCCAGCTGATTTTTCAATTTATTTTGTAGAGACAGGATCTGGCTATGTTGCCCAGGCTGGGTCTCCAACTCCAGGTTCAAGCAGTCCTCCCACCTTGGTCTCCCAAAGTGCTAAAGTGACAGAAGTGAGTCACTGCTGCCGGCCTCAAAAGCTCTTTTTTCAGTGGGCTTTCTTGACAATTATTTTTGTTCAAGAAAGACAGGGGCCTGTTCGGGGAGAAATAGATGGATGGTGTGTCTCTACGATTTAGACAAATGTTTTAAGTTCAGCTCTCCATGAACTTTGAACTTGGAAATCGTGTCATTGTTTTAATAAATATACTGTTCAATTAAGATTTTTAACCAGGCCAGGCACGGTGGCTCAATCCTGTAATCCCAGCACTTTGGGAGGCTGAGGCGGGTGGATCACGAGGTCAAGAGATCGAGATCATCCTGGTCAACATGGTGAAACCCCATCTCTACTCAAAATACAAAAAATTAGCTGGGCATGGTGGTGCGTGCCTGTAATCCCAGCTACTCAGGAGGCTGAGGCAGGAGAATTGCCTGAACCCAGGAGGCGGAGGTTGTGGTGAGCCGAGATTGTGCCATTGCACTCCAGCCTGGGTAACAAGAGCAAAAACTCCATCTCAAAAAAATAAAAAAAAGATTTTTAACCAACCTATACCTATCCATCCCCACTGCACCCCATTGCAAAATAAATAAATTTAAATACATATGTATACATACATATAGATATAGATATATAGATAACGTCAGGAAAAATTGTCCAAAACTTGAAAATGAGTAAAAGAGATTACTGGGTATCCTTTCAGTGGGGTGCTGGGTGCACCTTGGGTGGCTATTGATTAGGCTATTTTGCAGCCCTAGAAGGCTAGAAGTTAACTTGCAGAAAACGGATGATTATGCAAAAGATTTATGTCCATAGCAGTGAAAACGAATGTTTTCCAGGAGAAATATAAGTGAGCAGTCCTTTCTGCCAGAAAATAAGTAAGTTAAACCCACTAATCTCATTTTGTCCTATATGATGTTAACGAGTTAACCAGTTTGGCATCTATTAGCAAATTCATGTCATCATTCCTGACGTCAGATTTTCCTTTAATCTTAGCATCTTACTAGTTTGAACTCCTTTGAGGTCAACAACTTACTGAGTCCTTCATTAATCAATTACTTGAATAGAATCTTAGATAGGTTTTCATCTTATATTTGCATAAGTCATGTTTTCAATTTTCTGAAAATTATATTTCAGTACAATCCATCTTACTCTACATTTCACATTAGATTGCATGACTTCCATCAATTCACTGGCTCATTTTTAAATTTCAAATACATATTTTTGGTTAAAAAATACTTCTTAATGGTGAGTCCACTGGATCTCATAATGAAAAATTATCTCCTCATCCAACAGTATTTGTCACCAAAATTAAAACAGAATCTTGAACCAGTGTGAAATTTGAGGAACGGTGGGTTTGTTGCTGACAAAGTATTTGACTTAAGAAAAATGTTCTTTTAAGAGAGCATGGTCAATATACCAGCACTTTCTAAAAGAGAACTTGAAAGAAGCTTTCTCCTTCTCTTCCTCCTCCTCCATCTCCTTCTCCTTCTTCTTTCTTTGAGACAGGAGGATCTCACTCTGTCACCCAGGGTGGACTGCAGTGGTGCAATCATGGTTCATTGCAACCTTGATCTCCCAAGCTCAGTGATCCCCCAACCTCAGCCTCCTAAGTAGCTGGGACTACAAGCACATGCCACCATGCCCTACTAATTTTTTTTTTTTTTTTAATGTAGAACAGGGTCTTGCTATGTTGCCCAGGCTGGTCTTGAACTATTGCCCTCAACGGATCCTCCCACTTCAGCCTCCCAGAGTTCTGGGATTGCAGTTGTGAGCCCCCATGCCTGGCCTGGACTTCGTGTTTAGTGAGTATCCACTTTCAGTTTTGCAAGATGAAAAAAGTTCTGTGGATGGATAGTGGTGATGATTACACAACAATGTGAATGGACCTAACACTGAACAGTACACTTAAAAATTTTGATTTATTTATTTTTGAGAATGAGTCTCACTCTTGTTGCCCAGGCTGGAGCACATTGATGTGATCTCACCTCACTGCAACCTCTGCCTCTTGAGTTCAAGCGATTCTCCTGCCTCGACCTCCCAAGTAGCTGGGATTATAGGCACTGGCAACCATGCCCAGCTAATTTTGTATTTTTAGTAGAGACGGGGTTTCACCATGTTGGTAGGGCTGATCTTGAACTCCTGACCTCAAATGACCCACCCGCCTGGGCCTCCCAAAGTGCTGGGATTACAGGCGTGAGCCACCATGCCTGCCCTTAAAAATGTCTAAAATTGTTTTTAAAAATTCAGTGACAATAAATGTACATGCCAATTTTTATTTTTATTTTATGAGATAGGCAAATATTAAGGACTTTCCAAATTAATTTTGGTTCTGGCAAATCTATATAGAATCAGGTTTATACAAAAGATCTTTTGGAAAGCCCCATTTTCCAATATTCCTGAGACATAGTGAATGGGATTTCAGGAGAGCTCTGAGCGGACTCTGGGGAGCCATGGGTATGGGGAGGTGGAGGGCAGGCAAACAGAAAAATTTCATTCTGAACCCTGGTTCAGTATCTCTAGGGCTTTTTCCTCAAGCTGCTCTTCTCAGTGTCAGATTCCAATGTGAAGAGGTTTGGGGTTTGTCCAGTGGGTTCCCATCTGGCTACAAGGCCAGAAGGAGAAGCAGGGAGGGAGACTGGATACTAAATATCCTGGGACACTCCTGGAAAAAAAAAATCCATTCTTGTTTACCACACTCCTGACCACAAATGATGTACAGAGACTGCTTTGGGATGGCTATGGGCAGGCTTGCAAATCGTATTTTTGTTTTTAATTTATTTATTTAGAGACAGAGTCTTGCTCTGTCGCCCAGGCTGGAATGCAGTGGTGTGATCATAGCTCACTGCAACTTCCAACTTCTGGGCAAAAGCAATCCTCCCACCGCAGCCTCACATCAATTGTAAATAAACTGTTTATATGTGGGCATTTTAGGAATGGCTTGAATATCTCATTGCAATGAGTTTGATATACTCTAGGGTTGTATGTACTGCTTGAAGTTTGCATTAGAAATGATTTAAATATTTGAAGCCTTTGAATTACATTGGCTGAAAACTTGTGTGTTTGAAACAAAGTAGCAGTCCCTCTGTAACAGTCTGCTCCACCCCCACCACATCTAACCCTGGCTGACTCAACGTCTGTGAAAACCCCAAGGCCACCTTCAAAGAAG